AAGTCGACCTCTAGGGTATCGAGGAAGGTTGGAGAATATAGGTTACATAGTTCATCAGTCCAAGTTTCACAAGAGAGACTCCTACACCATTGTAGAAGACAGAACTAACTTTTCCCCTTTCCTTAGAGTCAAGTGGCCTAAGGGCCCCCTTTCTTTGCCCCTTGATTCGCTAGCCGACTTGCTAGCGCTTGGATTCTCGAACTCTAAGAGCAGATTTTTGGAATTTGTTCACATTCTATTCGATGGCATCTATCCGCTTTCTACCCTTTGCAAGCGTGCTACTGACTCGATGGACAAAGTCAAGGAACTGCTTTTCCTCGTCATTGACTTGGATCACATCATACTGAACTTTTCATCCTATGTCGTCCAACTTTCTTGGTGTTGTGGGTCTCAGTCTTCTAATGTCAGCTCTCTGGCAGGCCAATCGATATCTACTTGATTGGTCCTAACTACATGATCGATCTAATGAAGATTCCCATGTAGATCTATGAAAAGCCGAACCAAATGGGAATCCTAGGTATAGGCAAGGGTGGGAGGGATGAGAGAGCAAGCTGGCGTGGGGGGCAAAGGCAAGAGCATCCGAGCAAAGCATGCCCGACAGGGTATGATGAAAATCTCTCACCAGGATTGTCTTTCGAGATCGATTGATCAACATTTCCATCTTTGTGAAAGCTGAGAAGCGTTCTAAATAGTTTTCGATAAGGAGAGAGTTCCAACAAAAATGCGATCTTCTGCAATAGAAGCTAACATGGATGTTCCACCGGCACTGGGTTTCGAAGGTCACGATTATCGGAGCAATCAACGGAGTGTTTCCTTCCGTAACGGGAGAAATCCCATATTCTAAGGAAATCTTTTTGGTAAGAAAGCTTGTCCTAGAAGGAAGCCTACCCGCAAGAACTCGGGTTAAGTGCCCTCCACCGCAACCGACATAACAAAAGAAAGAAGGAACCGGTCCCCATGGTCGCCTTCGTTCGTAAGGTAAAAACGAATAGACATTCTTGTCTTGGCCTACGTGACGCACATGACCGGTCAAGAAAGTTCTTATTTTTTTATTTAACTTTTGCTACGACTACAGTGAAGTGGCTCCCCCTTTACAAGTCTCTCTCCCACCAGAAGAAAGATTGATCGCTTTCGGTAACGCAGGGCTCCATTGCGTGTGCTCGAGGTAGAAGTTTTTTTTTTAGAAAGATGTGAATGGGAAAAAATTCTGACCACCGGTAGAGAATTCTTTTGAAAAGATTTGAAGGTAGAAGGTTGTTTCTGTCTAGCTCCGGAAGCATTGTCTGATGTAATAAGCAGAGGGAAGTGACCACTCTGAAGTTCTTTTTCTTTGATTCCAATGACCGATATCGTACAAGATGGAAGTCATGAGCGATAGCGAAGATAAGTATAGGTCTTAGATTAGAGTGCTGATGCCCTTCGGGAAAAAGGAAACCTAGCTATTCTTTTTGTTCTTAAGTAATTATTAGAGCAACATTTAGGAAGGATGAGAGAATAAGTTGCTCCAGTGGTGAAAGAGTCAGCGTTTGTACTCTTTCTAGAGATTGGGATAGTGTTCAATCATACGGTGCTCTTGCCGATCTTGGTGGTAGGGCAGTAGGTCGCTAAGAAGCTGTTGTTGAAGCAGTGTGGCAGGGAAGATGCAATAGCCGGGAACAAGCGGAACTGGAATTCTCACTTGAAATAGCGTATTAAAAAGAGAGGTTCTTCGTGTCGAGAGAGATCTTAGATTTCGTAAGTAACAATAGAGCAAAAGCAGGCGGCAGAGTCTACTAAGGGATCATCGGATCAACTTCCGATAACTCAAGATGCATTTGCTAGCGCTTATCAGATAGTTAGTTACTTTATGTTAGATTTCGAACTTGCTAAATATACAAATCTTATTCCTGCTAAAGTTCATAATTCAGAACATCTACATATAAATGATATTTACGATTTCTTTATATCGGAGCTTATGAGGTACCTTAAAGCCGCTGGGAATCAAATTTTTAAGGATGGTCCTTTTATTATCAAATATGTATGCCCCCTTCTTCATAAAAATTTAGTGAAGTCACTCGTAATGTCCTTGGTCTATGGGAAGACTGCATATAGTATGGCTGAGAATCTATATAATGAGTTAAATAAGCCTTTAGGGTTAGGTAAAAAAGAATGCTTGGAACTAGCTACTCATATAGAAATTTTCTTTAAAAAGAGATTTCCTCATATAGTCAACCTAATGAGTTTAATACGAGCTGTAGGGTGGGTTGTATCTACAAGTGAGGCACCTGTCTACTACTGAACCCCTATGTTTACTACAGTCCAAGACTATATGAAATCTGAAGCTGTTAATATATAGTTATATGATCGCCACAGCAAGAAAAGACGCCAGGTAATGCTACGTCTCCCCACACCCGAACGTGATTGAAGAAAGACTACATCAGCTATTTTTACGAATATTATTCATCAGAAAGATGCTATTATAGAATTTAATATGATCAAAAATGTGAAAAAGAGGGGGATCCTTATATATACAGTTCGGGATAATTTAATCACTACCATGAATTTCTCACATGCTATGGGTGAGAGTTACATCGAAATCGTATTAAATAGCCCCCACCCAATGGAATATATTAACTCATTCCTTGCGATAAATCTCTTTCATGAAGCTCGTACCCCCGGCGGCCTGTGTCAGATAGATCTAGGTGGATGTTTCGCTGTAGATGAGTTGCACAGCCGCCTTGATAATATACCCTACCCTAAAGAATACACATTGCCAAAAAAAAAGAGGGAAATATGGTATAAGAGGCTTACTGAGATCTCCCAAGCGTACTCTCATTATATTCTATCTAAACGATTTACGGATTCAGCCCCTATACCTAAATGTATCAAATCGTCTTCTGATTCATCCTATTATACTAGATTAGATAAGTACAGCGGGGAAATACATAAATAGAGGTATTACCCTTATATTTATAGTTTGCACTTATGAATAAGACTAACACATCAATGATGAGGTCTAAGATAATAAGGAAAAAACCTTACAGTACCAGGATTAGTATGGACTTGTTAGGGTGTCTTTTATTTATCATCAAAATGTATTGTAAAGAGCCCTATCCCACGCTGAGAATAGTTTACGCTGAACAGATCGACGGTTTATTAAGATGTAAAGAGTGTGAGATTATAGTGAATCTTATCATGTACCTGCTATTCAAGTACGCATACCCTAAAGATTCAGAGTATGGAAAATTCACTATTCATTATAGCATGGAAACCACTAGCGGTATAATCACCTATGCCCTAGGCCAAGCTATCAAGTCTAGAGTGGGTGCGGTAAATCAGCCTGTCAGAGATATAGTTGATGAATATGTTAGAGAAAAGGCTGAGGCTTACGGCGATGCTGTACTAACTGACATTCATTCGAATCTATTATGATCAAAACCTCTCTAGTGTAGAGATGAATATCTCTAATGATCAGATAGCTCGCCTGATCGCTGAAAGCATGGTGAGCGATGAGGTGTATGATCGTATAGCTGTGTGAAAGATTGAAAATCGTAAACCTAAGTACCTTAAGCATATCACAAGACTCAAACCTAATTGCAAGGAAATAAGATTCTTCATTGTTGCAGATACTGAAACCATTTTTGGTAGACTCCGATTCTTATCAAATAGAGAAAGTGCACATGCCATATGCCGTGGGCTTTGTAGCGGTAAAACCCGGCTCTACCCTGTCTAAAGAGAAGGTTGGTAGTATTGAAACATATTTCAGTGAAGAGTATCCGGTTTTTCTATATGATATTTTCCGTAAAAGGAGCTATAAGATGCTGACCGAGTTTATCGATCGTTTAGCTCACGTAGTTCGCAAAGATCCTTCTATTCGTACCATCTACTTCCACAACTTATCTCGATTTGATGACTATCTCTTTTTCAAATTCTTTGCTAGCGGTGGTAGCTAATAAAACTTTAAGCCTCTTATAAAGGATCATCAGATATATGAGCTTGTTATCTATAACTGTAAGAAATTGCTATTACGTCTGAGGGATTTCCTCAAGCTTTTACCCAGCCGGTTCGATGACTTAGCTCTAAATCTCTGCCCCCAATTAGGGCGTAAAGGTTTCATACCACATAATAATGTGAATGAGTCTAATCTGTTCCATCAGAGCGAAGAATTGTTGGAATATATGAAACATGATATCCTTTTATTAGGGGGTGTTATGCATAGAGCTCAAGAAATATATTATTCACTGTTTCAGATTGATATAGTAAAAAAAAGGACCCTATCATCTTTAGCTCTCGATATTTTTCGCACTCTCTATTACGATAAAAAATGGCCTATCTATATACCCAATAGGAATGAAGATACATTCATTCGCTGCGGGTACTACGACAGCCATAGCGATACATACATACCTTACGGCAAAGAACTATATTACTATGATGTTAACTCATTATATCCACATGTTATGAAAAACATTCCAATGCCGGCATGTGAAGATATGGATTTAGACAGCCTCTTTGACTTTATTGAGGCCTATGTTGTAGCACCCTCTGGTATGAAATAACCTTTCTTGCCATATAGGAGTTCTAAAAAAAGCCTAATCTTCCCAACAAGTGAATTTGTTGGTGTTTATTCTAGTGAAGAATTAAAATATGCTAAAAGCATAGGACACCAGGTGACCCCTCTTTGTGGCTACATCTTTCAAAAGATTACCCCCTGTACCCCCTTTGGAGATTTTGTTACCACTCTCTCGCAAAACAGGATAAAAGCAAAGAAAGATGGGAATGATTCGCTAGCAATTGTCTACAAGATCCTTATGAATTCACTGTACGTAAGATTTGGTATCAACCCCAGAACAACGGTGACAGAGGTCTACGATTATTAGAGATATACGGGGATAAGTTGAACTGCTGGTTTTATCAATGCTGAGATGTTTACCCATAAGTTCTATATAGTTCCTTAGAAAACTAATACGGAGCGGGGTCTAGATACTGAGTGGAACCCTTCAAATATATCAGCTTTCCAGATGGCTGCGGCTATCACAGCATACGCTCGTATCCATATGCACCATTACATATCCAGAGATGATTGTCACTATATCGATACCGACTCCTTTCTTCTTAATGGCCTACTTCCAGATTTAGACATATCTTCCATGGAGTTAGGCAAGTTTAAACTGGAGTATGCATCCTATTAGGGTATCTGCTTAGCGGCTAAGAGCTATATTCTTTCTAAAGAGTGCCACGATGCAGTTATTAAATATAAGGGGGTGGCTAAATCCCTTGTAACTCCTAAGTGGTATAAAAAACAATACGAGAATTTAAATCGCACCACAGAGGCTGTTGTGAAAACCCTATTCTATGTTAATTGGAAAACGCTAGACGTCGGTGAAAGGCCTATTAATGTCCACTTAGGAAGCCCTACTAAAAGCAAGAGGGAAGCAGTCTATGATAATAATAATGCTTGGGTTGATACAAAACCCTTCCATGTGATAGACTACGCAGGACAAGAGATAAGAGTATTAGAATGGAAACTTCACTCTCTTCAAAAAGAGTATGAGCTTTTAACAGCTACTATAAACAAATATAAGGATGGTAAGAGTCAAAACTCTGATGGTAAGAGTCAAAACTCGGATGGTAAGAGTCAAAACTCGGATGACTCTAATAAATATACTATTCAAACATCTTCAGATCCTATGAGATCGAGTATTCAAAACCTGGAGCCACGTCAGGCCCCTACTCTATACATCCATCCCCCGAAGAAGTCAAAGAGGAAGAAAAAGTGGAAGAAAAAGAGGAAGAAGTAGGCTTTCAAAGCAACGATTTCTTCCACAACTAGATTTAGGTAGCGCTATAGTTTGTTCGTGATACCCCCATCCCGGGAATCATAACCACTTCGTAAAGGCACCATAAACTGAAGTACACTCTGATGTACGGGGGCTCCAACACTCCATACTGAAGATGTCTTATCAAGGGTTTGTTTTTCCGAATTAACAATAAAATAACCCTATATGTAATGATAAATCAGCGCTATAGGTAAATTCCTTAAGCCATGTAAAGTCTCGCTACAAGATCCTAATTTCTAAAGGTATCTAATATATCTTTCAATATATCTTTCGTTGTAGAAAGAAAAGACAGATTCCTCTGACCCACATCTGTCAACCCACCTCACCCGCCTTTTTGAAGGATCGGGGTGTGGCCTCGCCTTTTACAGCTACTTAAATGCCTATAAGTCTGAATCCTAGCCTATAACTCTTCATCCTAACTTAGAATTATGAATATACCCACCCCATTCCGGATGGGATGCTACTGACCGCTAAAACGAATGATATCATAATTCCTAATCCTTAGCCCTTAAGCAGAGGACCACTACCCGAAATTGTTAATTCGCACAAAGGCTTTTCATTAATAGCTTTTCTCATAGGCAGAGCCACATCATCGGTTTCGAGAAATTTGACAACGTTGAAACTGAGAAACCTGTAGCCAGGATCAAAATAGAGCTCGTAATTTAATATAGCCTCAAAAATAGATGGATCGGGCATAGAGCTATGGTCAACCTTATACCAAATAGTATATCCCACCCCTTTAATAATAAGTGTCAAGTAGATTCCAAAATACCCCGGCCCGCATGTTACAACATCTGTGAGAACCTTTTCAACAACACCGTTCACTAAACCATGAAGGCCAGCCCTTCGGCTGGTTGATGGTAATAAAACTTCAGGTGATATTTGACTTGTAATGTATGATAATCCGAGCTCATTGCTGTATATAGAGAGCTTCTCTAAATGTTCGGTAGAATATTCCAGCTCCTTTAGTACAAATTCGGATTGTCCAGGAAGAAAGCGATATGCAAATCCCATACTAGATTGCCCTACACCCTTGTAAGAGATCATTTGAACATCCTCAAAGCTCACACCATTCTTCAAACCCTGGATTAACCCTTCCCACCAGGGATGAAATAAATGTACAGCACCAGACAGAGAAGGCGGAATGACGGCCTGAGAGCTCCCACTACCATCATTTTCACTATCTTCAAGGCTCAGTTTAGCTAACCGCTTACAAAGAACCTCGCCATCCAAATCTTCTATATCTTTTAATACACGGAATATGCTATACCAATCTATAAGTTGTGGAAACATAGATACTATTTATCCTAATTTAGCGTAGGATACAAGACCCCTGAAAATGACTTTTTAACCAACGCTCACCCGCGCCAACCCGGTAGCCAGGGGTGATCAAACTAATGGCGAAAGGGCAATTCAAGGCAAGTGGGGTATTGGTATCCTATATATGATATGTAGCAATGAAAAAAGGTTCTATATACTTTGACTAAATGGTGAATAATCTTTACTTACTAGAAAAATAGCCTATTAAGATAATATCCCAACTAATAAAGATCAAACGCTCCGCTAGGTCAGGTTTCCACCCCCTCCTCTTAGCAGAATCATCACCTGAAAGATCATAGCTACCATCTATAACTAGACCCCTGATATCTTCAACATCCTCGATCAAATCAGATTGATTTTGACCTTCTATAACCTCAGCATTTTGAAGATAATCTATCAATTCAACGCCGCGGTTAGATAGTTCTATGTATAGACTATCTAAGATATCTATATTACCATTCTTGAGAATATATAACATAGGAAGCATAAATAAACATAACATCCTAAAATGTATTATAAAGGGTTTTAAGATGAAGAAGTTAATATATCTACTGATGAATAAATAGAAAAGATAAAGATAGGTAAATATACCAGTATAGTGGTTTATAATAATGAAATAGTAATAGACGATTTCTAGAATATTATAGAAACCGCAAACCCAAATCAGAAAGATAGAATTAAAAATCGGGAGAATCTAGAAATAAAGTAGACTTAATAATACTTCTATAAGACTAAACATAGCAATAGATATATTATTTTTAGCGTAATTGGACTAGGATAGACTGTGTTGTAACCCTCAACACTTTAATAAGACGATACGAATAAAGACTTTTAGGAAATATAGGCTCAGGAGAAGAGGCCGGGGAGGATCGATACACTTCGTTGTCCATCCCATGGACAACTCCTTCCCCTTGCTTATTCTTAGCATATAGTTCGACCCTCCAAGTAAAGAGTCTTTACAAATGCATACCTGATCCCTACCCGGGAGGGGTAATTAATAATAAGCGTGGGGTGCTCCTTATATAAGTAATTTTTCTAAGAGTGTTTAAAAAAAGTATTCCGTACAATAAAAGAAATATCCCAAGAGGTATATCCCACAAACAATCCAGAGGAGATCCCTCCTATCAAACCTACCTTCCCCATTTGATGATAGATCGACTTTATTATCTTTTATAACCTGATCTAGCATTAACTCAGGAAAATAGGATTTATTGACATCTTCTATAGCCTCTGGTCGTCTAAATCAATCTAGAAGATTCACGCCCAGGTAGTTAGAAAGTTCTGTTATTAGAAAATTCAAGTAATTAGTATCACAATACTTGATAAAGTAAAGTATAAAAGGGGTTATATTGCCTACTATGGAAAATTCAATTAGAACACTTTTTAAGAGAGGTAAGGATATACATCGATATATATATTATAAATGTATATATAAATAGGAGAATATACCTATAAATTAGTTTATAACATATAAATGTACAATGATAAATTTTACAACCTTGTATAAACCTATAAGCCAAATATTAGAGATACGCTTCATTATAGGCATAAAAAAAACACACACATTATTGAATAATGCTATTAATAGAGTGATCATTGCAGTATATACATAGTATTTAGCATAATAGGACTACGATAGACTGTGTTAAGTCCCTCGACACTTTATGGAAATATACTAGAATAAGCTATAGGGATAGGTACGGATGAATTATATCCTATAGATTATCAATTGTGTAATTGGATATAGACGCTGTAACATCTATCACATATTAGAGGGATATTTATATCCTATAGATCATCATTACTATATATATATATATATATATATACTTTTTTAAGAAGTCAAAGAGGAAGAAAAAGAGGAAGAAAAAGAGGGAGAAGAAGAAAAAATCGAGCTTGGATGGAACTGAACAAGATTGAGCGAACGAATACAAAGATCAAAGACTTTATTATTATATTAACATAAGTAAACATTTTCAGCTAGGGTTTTTTCCATACATGCAAACATAATAAATAAAACCAAACAAAGATAGTTAGCATAGATAGGAGCCTATCTCCAGTAGGCATCAAAGTAGATTTCCACTAAACAAAGAAAATGAAAGGAGGTGCGGGTCAAATCCGCATCTTTGCACCCTTTACTTACTTCAAGGGATGGTGCGTACGATACATGATTGGTTAATGATGATTCTAAACAGTATTTGTAAGATCTCGAGGCTTACTAGACAAAATTAGATCAAAAATGAAAACTTTGGATATTTTTCTTAGAAGGAGATGAACTACCTATAGATTTGTATGTAAGTGCATGAATTAAGAAAAGGCTGGCATCCAATCAAGAAAGAATCACTTTGGATAATTAGACTGAGCTTCCCATTATCTCCCTTCTTTAGCAAATGATGTAGGAAATCCCTAAAGTCAAAGTAGTCCATGAAAGCATCTATGTTTTCCGTTCAAGAAATTTTTTATGTAAAGATGGGGTGAGTCCCTTATAAGATCTTACTTTCTTTTCGTTTCTTCTATTAGTTAGCTTGGATTGAGAAAGCTCCTCCCAATAGCGCTTAGCCATGTGTGTGTAGACCGAAATGGTCTCGCGAGAAGTCAAAACTACGAGAAGGGCGCGAGAATTTTTGTGAAGGTAGAGAGAGATTTTCAAATTAGACTTCAAGTTGGTGTGCCGCGTGTTAAGAAGGCAGAGACCACCCTAGGTTTTGCCCTAATTCCCATCTAAGGTTGAATAAGATTAGATTAGTCACACAAAATTCATTCTCGAATGATTCATTAATTGAATTAGGCCTAGTTGTATGAAAATTTCTTGTGATTCCCCCTCTTTCTTCGATGAAGGCATACACGCATCGATAGGGAACCCAAAGAAGGTCTATAAAAAGGAAAGCGGAACCTTAACATAATAGCTCCATTTCTTGTTCCTTAGTGGAAGGTATGCTCAGCCCCTGATAAATCGCTAGTTCTTAATCCTTGCATCCAAGGATAATAAGTCGGTTGGCTCTTAGAGTATAGCCTCTCTCGGGGTTAGCGATAAGACTACACTGGCCCGTGTAGTAGTGGGAGAACTAACGATTTCGTGCTTGCAAGGAAGCGTGCAAGTGGGTGAACGCATCACCAGCCAAGCTAGTCACTTGGAACATAGGGGTATTCAATCCCCAAGCTTCCGGGCCTTGAGAGCCGACTTCGGATTTGCCCCTTAGATAGTGAGTAGCAAAGAAGGGTAGGGTTTCAAGTTTAGGGTTTTCACTTCCACGTCCCAGCTCGTCGAAGCTACCGCCTATCGATTGAAATTTCCCTCCTCAGTCAGAGACGGAACCGGCTCCCCCGAATCATCGTCGGAAGTGTAAGGAAGCGGGTTTTCACTTCCACGTCCCAGCTCGTCGAAGCTACCGCCTATCGATTGAAATTTCCCTCCTCAGCCGGAGGCGGAACCGGCTCCCCCTGAACCATCCTCGGAAGAGTAAGGAAGGAGAAGGGAACGGGAGTTTCTCGCCTCCTAAGAGTATAAAGAGGCGGAGTGTCACCCCAACAAACTAGATGCACTCATCAAGGAGTTTTGCCAATGAGCGAAGGCGATCGCTCAAGAAAGGGGATTCAGCCCCGGGAAATGCGATGCAGTGAAAGATGCTGCGGACTATGTG